AAAACAAAACAAACAAACAAAAAAAAACAAAAACAAAAACAAAACATATAGAAGGACAAAGTATCATAAATAGGGTGAAGTTATCAGAGAAATGCAAGTATAGTGTATGCTAGAAAATCAAATACAGTCATGTGCTGCTGTAGACCTTTCAGTCAGCAGACCACATACACAATGGTGGGTGGTCCCATTGAGTATAATGGAGCTGAAAAATGCCTATTGCCTAGTGACAGCTTAGCTGTCATGCTGTAGTACATTGTTACATGTGATGCTACCAGTTGTATAAAGGTATAGCACATATAATTTATGTGCAGTACATAATAATAATAAATGACTATGTTACTGGCTTATTCATTATATTTTAAGATTGTAGTCCTTCTATTATTGTTGTTATTTTTTGAGATAGAGTTTCGTTCTTGTCACCCAGGCTGGAGTGCAGCGGTACCATCTTGGCTCACTGCAACCCCCACCTCCCAGGTTCAAGCTATCCTCCTGCCTCAGCCTCCCAAGTAGCTGGGATTACAGGTGTGCACCACCACACCAGCTAGTTTTTGTATTTTCAGTAGAGATGGGGTTTCACCACGTTGGCCAGGCTGGTCTCAAAACTCCTGACCTCAGGTGATCCACTCGCCTCAGCCTCCCAAAGTGCTGGGATTACAGGAGTGAGCCATGGCACCCTGCCTTTTCTGTATCTTTTCTATGTTTAGATACACAAACACTTACCATCGCGTTACAACTGCCTTCAGTATTCGGTATAGTAACATGTACAGGTTTGTAGCCTGGAGCAATAGGCTGTATCACATGGCCTAGCTGTGTAGTAGGCTCTGCCATCTAGGTTTATCTAATTACACATTACACTCTACAATGTTCATACAACAGCAAAATTGCCTAACAACACATTTCTCACAACATATTCCTGTAAGGTGGGGCGCAGTGGCTCACGCTTGTAATCCCAGCACTTTGGGAGGCTGAGGTGGATGGATCACTTGAGGTCAGGAGTTCGAGACCAGCCTGGCCAACATGGTAAAACTCTGACTCTACTAAAAATAGAAAAAATTAACAGGTGCACACCTGTAATCCCAGCTACACTCTGGAGGCAGGAGAATTGCTTGAACATGGGAGATGAAGTTTGCAGTGAGCTGAGATTGTGCCACTGCACTCCAGCCTGGGCAACGGAGTGAGACTCTGTCTCAGGGGGAGGAAAAAAAAAAAAAGAACATATCCCTGTAGTTAAACTACATATACCTGTGTTACACAATACATTAACTATTAGAGAGGCTAATGAATCTTGTCTCAATAGAAGCAGAAAAAGGACTGATAAGATTGAACATTCACTTGTGACCAAAAACAGAAATAGAGAAACCCCATCTCTACGAAAAATACAAAAACTAGCCGGGTGTGTTGGCCGCTCCTGTAATCCCAGCTACTCAGGAGTCTGAGGCAGGAGAATTGCTTGAACCTGCCGAGATTGTGCCACTGCACTCCAGCCTTGGCAACAGAGCAAGACTCTGTCTCGTTAAAAAAAAAAACCAAAAAAACAAAAACCCAAAAAACAAAAAACAGAAATCGAAGACAAATGCCGCTAGGTGCGGTGGCTCAAGTCTGTAACCGCAGCACTTTGAGGAGGCTGAGGCAGGCGGATCACCTGAGGTCAGGAGTTTGAGGGTAGCCTGGCCAAGATGGTAAAACCCCATCTCTACTAAAAGTACAAAAATTAGCCAGACGTGGTGGTGGCATGCTTGTAATCCCAGCTACTCGAGAGGCTAAGGCTGGAGAATACCTTGAAACCAGGAAGCGGAGATTGCAGTGAGCAGAGATTGCACCACTGCACTCCAGCTGGGTGGTAAGAGTGAAACTCTGTCTTTTTTTTTTTTGAGACGGAGTCTTGCTCTGTTGCCCAGACTGGAGTGCAGTGGCCGGATCTCAGCTCACTGCAAGCTCCGCCTCCCGGGTTTACGCCATTCTCCTGC